ACTTAGTGCATCCTTCAGAAGCATCTTTTTGCACCGTACATGAACCACTCAACTTGAACCATTTATTTGCAGATTTATTGTAGAACAAAGTTATCGAGTCGCCTGCAGTTACAAACGGTCCGATCGATGCCTTGTTGGCAAATTTTCCATCCGAAAACACAACATTTTGCACATCTTGAGTAAATGACACAAATATGATGGTGCCGTCTGGGCAGTTTTGCGGAAATTTGACGACGACCTCTTGCAAAGGAGCTGTTGGTGCGACAATAACACCAGGTGGAGCAGCATTGACAATAAGATGCGTTTCCGTGGTGGGTGACACTACGTTGATCCCCTTGAGAACCCATGCTCCGAGAACATTGAGATCCTTCGTCGAAACAAGACTTGCGGTGATTGAGTGAACCAATTTTTGAGAGGACATTCGGTGGTTTTTATATACTGTAAGAAAGAAAAGAAAAAAAATGTTGTATGGAAACAGAAGGATATAACATGACATTTGATAACTTGTGCTCCCAGTTGATAAATGAAGAAAATTTGCGTTTCCTCGTAGAGATGGATGATTCGAACAATCATAATTTTAGTTCTTCCATTTTGAAAGATTATTTTGAACAAACTCGTGGCACAATTGCCAAAATGAAACTGGCTTTCGAAAAAGCTGTAACATCAAAACAGTTTGTAGAAATTGCTCGCATGGGTCATTATCTTAAAGGTAGCTCCTGTATTGTTGGTGCTAAAATAATCCAAGATATTTGCGACAAAATACAAAACCATAAAGGTGTGGAAAAAGATGATATAACTTATCTTAAAACTCAAATAGATCTTTTGGAAGATGTTATTCCCAAAACCATCGGTTTCCTTACGTTCAAACATTCATTAATGAGACACAAAACAGATTCACAAATTGTTCCCATGACATAAAAGCGGCTCAACCGTATTAAAAAAAATTGTTTGGTAAAGATAAAATAGATAAATAGTGATGATTGACAATAAATTGGTTCAGATTGCGTTGGTCATCCTGGCTTTTTATTTGGTAATGCAGATAGTAAATTCTAACATTTCCCAAGAAAACATGGACTCAGATATGAGTATGGCGACCTCTTCACAAACTTCTTCAAGTGAATCGGGAAATGCGAAATACGGAGGTCATTCTGTTAACTATCAATACGTCCCGTCTATTTCGGCTCAAGACCACGCAGCAGCCGTTAACGCTCTTACGCCGAGTTCAATGGAAATGTCCTCGTTGATGGCTTCAAATGCTCTCCCGCCATTTTCCGCTGCCACTCCGGAGTCGACAAAGTCAACGGCTATAAAAATGCCTGCACCTATTGCCTCCCATCCTATGGCAACGATGTCTAATTCCACAACTCAAACTTCCCAGTCATCATCCCCTTCCGCAATGGAATCTATAACCGGGTTGAGCGAATCGACACACGCGTCAGCAACTGGCGAACAAAGTTCTCTTGGAGAAATGAAGAACATCACAACGGAGGAGAATGTTTTCTATCCCGATCCATCTCCTTTTGATAACGTTGTTACTAATCGCAGTCAATTGAATCCCGCGGATCTGATTCCGAAAGTTCAAGGAGCAGAATTATATTCCGGCCTGGAACCTGATCCAACTATGAACCAGAGTTTTTTGCAAAATAGATTCAGTCTTGGAATTGATTGCAGCAGGCCGACAAGAAACTTTAACAATGATTTACGAGGTACACCTTATCCACCGACAATTGCAAATGTTTCACCATTTAACCAGCCAACTCAATATCCTGATCTTTACAGGAAAAGTCTCGGAGATGTGGAATAACATATTTGTTTAATATCTTGTCCACTCTATTTCATTTATCGATAAATATCAAATTTAGATCTTTGCAAATCACTTTGTCTGGAACAACAAATCGAAATTATCTATAAAAACAACTTAATAGTTTTTGTAAAACGAAATTATATAATAAAAAGAAGATTTCAGATTTTGTAAAAAAATTTACAAAATCTAACCTAATTTTTCCGACAGCATTTAACGATGAAATTGACCCTAATCGATATTTTGCACGCCCGCAATGTTTTCTTTATTAGTTTCAAATGGAAAGCTTTAGTCGTCCATGGTCTCAAATGATTCTGTTCTTTGTTTTAATTCACACGAACAATTCTGACACGAACATTCATCTTTGCATTTATGTTTGCATTGATAATTGCAGAAACATTTAGCGCCGCATGAACATTTGCCGTCACAGGAATCGCCGCCACGTGAACATTGACTGCCGCATGAACACTCATTTTTACAATTACAACCGTTTTGAAGGTTTCTGCTGTGAGCTCGACCTTCTCGAACAGTTTCATCGTCATCATCTTTTTCATCAGCCTTTTCATAATCGTTGTCATCCTTTTCCGAATCGATGTACTCTTCGAAATCATTACTTTCCTCTGAATTTTCTTCCTCATCGGGTAGAGTTATTGAATAAGAAAGTGCCCAACCAGGGCATTCATGGTTGCCATTGGGTTTAAATTTGAATTCATAGTCGTACCCAAGTTTGTCCAAGTCGTCTTCCAATAATTCGAGAGCTGAGTTTATGGCAGTGTTGGGCAACTTCCAAGCAATAGACGATAGTGTTTTCATGTCGTTTCGATAAATGTAACCTTCAAATTCCAGATTTAGTAAACGTTTGGTGATTTCTTTCAAATACTCTCGATAAAGTTGTTTCGACAAATTTCTGATCAACTTTCTAAGATTGGAGACTGTGGGTAGAGTTGTCAGATTCTTTGTTTGTTTCATTTCTAGATGTCAAACTTTTCGCCTTTTCGCTTTAACAAACATTGTTTTTTTAAACAAACAATATTGAACGCAATCTTGAATCGCCCGAACTAGTAACAAGATTATGACCGACGGCTGATGATTGACCATTTAAGATTGATAAATAAACATCTTCAGGACCCCATTTACACCGGTTAACGGATTAAATCGGATTTCACATTCAAACCATGAGTGATCCAAAAATGATATGTCAATGCTTTGACACTTTTGTTATCATCCGGTGAATCGAAAACTATAGTTTTTTCAGGAAAGATAAAAGATATATTGTGCTTTTTTATCAATTCTCGGATAGTTTTTGAGTCCAGAACGTTTGTTGGAACGAGAAATGCAAAAGGTTTGCCGAGTTCGCAAGCTCGAATTATGAATTCCTTTCGAAAACTGTATGGAGGAGTGCTGACTATGACGTCATATCTCTTTTTTGTCTTATATTGGAGAAAGTCATATTGTGAATCCATAAGAATATCAGTGGTAATCACACGTGGACCAAGCTTTTCGAAAAAATCCTTTACTGGCTGATTATCAACTCCGCTTGCCGGGTCCCATACTGATTTTAGCTTTTTTACATAATGTTCAATATCAGAAAAGGCGTAAGCTGGTGTGTAATAAAGATCTCTTTTTTTGTTGCTCTGTTTTGACTCGCTGCTCATCTTTGAATGCGCGATAAGCTTTGAATTAGTGGCCGTCTTTGACTTTGCCAACAAAGTAAATTTGTGCGCGTCTCAACTCAGTTTATCGATAAAACTACCCTGTCGTATCAAATATGTCATTTCTTCTTCACTTGAATTGGTTGCATCAACTTTAGAATGGACATATCGCTGATTTTTTTTGTATTTTTTCGTAACTTGCTCATATATTAAAAAAGCATGACAAGAAAGTTCAGACTGGTTCACGTACCTGGTGACGGAAATTGCCTCTATCATGCTTTTATCAAAGGATTGCAATTCATTGATCGGCGGTATCCCAACCTTACACCAAAAGAACTTCGTAATTATGTCGCACACAAAGTTGAACTTCATCATGATTTATATGAGGATATTGTTCGGGAATGGAAAGATCATGGTGTGATCGGAAGAAGTGTTCCAAGTCAACAAGCCGTAGGAAAACACATCAGGGAAACTAAAGAATGGGCAACTTCGACAGTAATTCACGCACTTTGCTTGGGATTTGATGTTAAGGTAATTATCGTTCAAAATATTGATGGACAACTGTTTATGGAAACGTTTCCGTCATTTTGGAAGAAAAACGATGCTTCTTTTGGCGATAGTAAAAAAAACATTGACAAATGTAGGACGATATACATTTTTCATAAAGATAACCACTTTGAACTTCTGGTAGAATGTGATAGTTGTTCATAATCTATCGATAAATCGAAATCTCAATCAACCTGTGGGTGCAAATATGTCATTTGTGGATCTATATATTTTTGTTCCAACTACACTAGAATCTATAGGACGCTGCAAGCTGGCAAAAGTTCTCGGTTGATCCGCAGTTTTTAGATACTTTACATGCTGTTCAATTTCGTTTACGATCATAGGAACTGCGGCATTTACAACGATGTCATCCAATCTAGCAATTTCTTTACGAATATGTGTTAAAAGATATTTGCTTGAAGATGCTTGTTCATCAACATGCATCGCATGTTCTGCATATATCCTTTCCATTAAAATGGAGAGCTGCAATTCTGACTGAAGTCCTATGTTATATCCAGAATACTTATTTACTGCAAATCGCAAGTTACTCTGAAGAGATGTAATGTTTTGCTTTGAAAAGAAAAAGTAAAAGAGCAGGTCTTTTTTATTGTTATCAAATGTAACGTCCATTATTGCGTCTAGTTTTTCAATAATGGCAGAAATTTCATTTTTTGATAGCGGTGGATCATCGGGATCATATTTGACGGTTATCTGAGATGCAATATTTCCGCTTCTGGGGGCATGCCTTCTACTTGTGAATCGTTTGGCCCACAAATCATCTGGTTTTACAACTCCGTTTTGATCTGTTGTATTTTGGGATAGAAATTCTACGTCAGCGGCAGGGTTTTGGAAGAAACTGGGATGTCCGATTGTGCCATTTCCAGGATCCACAGATAACGTTGTGTCGAAATCCATTTATATTTTAGAAAGTAAAAAATTTATAGATTTTTACCGCCCACACAGTGGGCTGGTTGACAATCCCTAATAAACTGAGTACTAAATGCACACTGTGGGGTTCGAACCCACGCATCTTTCGATACTGGAACTTAAATCCAGCGCGTTAAACCACTCCGCCAAGTGTGCGTCGATGTGGTCATGGAACACGAAGATTCAAGTCAGAATTTTTGAAAATATTGTATCTATCGATAAATGGAATTGAAAAAATCATACACAATTCATTATCATCTTTGAGAATAATAATGTTCTTCGAATTTAGAAATAATGTTTTCAACTGTATCTATCGATAAATGGAATTGAAAAAATTACACAGGATTCATCGACTACGAGAATGATCATCTTCGAGAATCATTATCATCTTTGAGAATCATAATCATCTTGTTCGAATTTAGAAATAATGTTTTCAACTGTATCTATCGATAAATGGAATTGAAAAAATTACACAGGATTCATCGACTACGAGAATGATCATCTTCGAGAATCATTATCATCTTTGAGAATCATAATCATCTTGTTCGAATTTAGAAATAATGTTTTCAACTGTATCTATCGATAAATGGAATTGAAAAAATTACACAGGATTCATCGACTACGAGAATGATCATCTTCGAGAATCATTATCATCTTTGAGAATCATAATCATCTTGTTCGAATTTAGAAATAATGTTTTCAACTGTATCTATCGATAAATGGAATTGAAAAAAACACACACAATATCATCATTTTCGTGAATGATGATGTTTTTCAACTGTATCTATCGATAAATGAAATTGAAAAAAACACACTTAATCATCATCATCTTCAAGAATTATGATGATGTTTTTTAACTGTATCTATCGATAAATGAAATTGAAAAAAACACACACAATTCATCATCATTTTCGACAATCATCATTTTCGAGAATCATCATTTTCGAGAAGCATCATCTTCGAGAATTATCATTTTCGAGAATCATCATCTTCGAGAATCATCATTTTCGAGAATCATCATCTTCGAGAATCATGATGTTTTTCAACTGTATCTATCGATAAATGGAATTTAAAAATCACACAACACATTCAT